TTACGTATTCTTCATTTCAGGTTTACAATACTTTATTGGGTGATCCAATAGGACCAAATTCACGGACGTTAAATGTGTACATAATGGTTAAAGATAAGATGCATAATAACTTGGCCAAAACGCTTCGGTGGCAAATTTTGTTTGTTCCGTTGCTTGTTTGTATAGCTAGTAATTAAGCATCAATTCCGTACTGTTCATCGTAGTGTATTTTTTGTGCATTTTAGATCTACTATCAAAATCAGGTCCTGGCCCATGATACTAGCCTGAATAGAGTTATACTACATCAAATTCATTGCGGAGAATGTTCATTTATCCAGTAAACGTACTTGCCTTTTTGTGAATGGGTAATCTGACACGAGAGGCAGCAACGTGTACGAGAAATGCTGCAGGCAATCCCTAAGGGAGGAAAGCAAAATGTGATTTGCATGTATAGCGTGGTAAACATGGTGACATAAGATCAATATATGACATTGAAGCCAATAAATGAATGACCTCGGGCGCACCATTGTCGAGACGATGTGGCAAATGTTTTTTTTTCCCGCTTGATGTGCTGGCATACATACCGTGTTTCTTTCTGTGCGTTCACAAGCCAGCTGATGGTCCATAGGGCTAGTCAAATGAGAGGGTGTTTTTAACGAGCAAATGGCTTGTTCAAATCATGCCTCGAGTGTTCACTGTGCCCCAATCGTCGGTTTACGCGCCCTCGCGTTCCTCTGACTTAAAGTGAGGTTGGTGCGTTGAAATGTATTTAGTCGTAACAATGTTTCATTCACATGCATTAGAATATTATGAAGCCCCAGATGCACCATGCCCTTTCTATGCAGAAAGAAATCTGATGAAAAAGTATTCGCGGCTCGAACCGACCCTTGACCGTTTTAGCGGAATTCGCATGAGAAAACGCTTTAATGGTGATGATGCGCCACGTAGCAGCTCATGTCAGACCCAGATGCCCACGACAATGACCCCTCGCGGTGCCCGAGCTCCCTGACAATTTTGAGCCACCTGGATGACTTCGTACCACCGACTCTCTCGGGACAGCATGGCCGGGTTAGAAACGTTGACCAGAGACTTCCAGCATGCTTTCAGACACCGGAAGGCGGCAGGTCCTCTTAAAGTGAGAAGGCTCCATGGAAGTCGGTTGTGATCATAAACCTGGTCAAATCGAGACACCTTATGGTATGTGGCGGTCCCATACAGTCGAAGGGCAGTCTTTCTCTTGCTAATCCACGCCCAGTCCTGACAGCAACCTCTGGCATGCTATGCAAAGGCACATCCGGCGAGCCGTTTCCGTATGGGCATATAAATTGCGTGATTTTAAGATATTTTACCAGGCACATCGAAAATATAAGAGCAAAATAGTAATTTCTATTGGGGGGCCGGTGAAGTTATGTGGTATTTAGGATGAGGAGGCCAAAGTGTATGTCGGGAAATAGACAGCGTGTTTTGCCAAGAAGCAATATAATATCCATCCTTCTCTGCATTACGGAAAGAGCCGGGCTGTAGGAGATTGCGTTCCATAGCTGAAGAAGGGCGGTTGTCCTGCTGTATGTGCTGTGGCCAAGACCGTGAAAAGGAAATTTGGAAAAGAAGATAAGAATCAAATGTCATGCCAATGGTGTGTTTGTAATCATGCCCTCGCTCTTATGGAAACGGGGGGCCTCTAGGCCAGTTAACTGGTCGCTCAGGTATTAACCCAAAATTATCAAGCATAAACATTCGTGTCTTTGTGACTCATGGAAGACAGCGTTCTTTTGTTACGTACATACACCTCGCGAAGAAACGCAGTTGGCGGAGAGGCATTTGGTTTAAGATGTTAATTGTAATGCTCTTCATTTTGAAGTGACTGAAACTAGCATCATATGTGATAAAATCACCACTCACGCATAACTATTATGGCAAGTTTTAACACCGAAAAAGATTGTCCTAGACAAAAGAATTTCTCTGTTCAGTAAATATCCTCCTCAATGCTTTGTTGCATGATGACGTCATCGCACCTAGCACAACAATGATTGAGAACCAACTGACAGCCGTTAATCTTGAAGTCGTGCTCACAACGCCAGATATGAACGATTTGAACAATTCTATTTTTAATGCCTTTGATACGCTGCATGGTTAATGGAATTATAGAATTGAATGACGTTATTATAAAGTCATGGATTGTCTGGGTGATCTTGAATAGTCTCTCCCCCGAAAAAGCCTGCACCTGTTCTCTGGCGTGTAGCTCTGAACTAGAGAGGTTTCAGTCCTTAAGGCAGGGCTGTGAACTGCACCGAATATCTTCAAGATGGCTATGCCAGTGCAAAACCTCATACAATGTGGAACATTCCTTTAAATCACATTGAGGTCTCATTGGTCCCCTTTATACATTTGCTTATACAATGCCCCTTTGGTCCTATTGCGGCCACTGTTTCTGCATTGTCCCCCTGTCCACCTTGCCCTGTTACTTGGACACGAACTGAGAATTAAAAATCTTTGTTTTAGGTATGTTGGCTTTTTTATCACTTAGTAGCGAATATGCGCATGGATTCAAATCAGTTTGTTCGTTTTCTCAGTCCGTTTTTACATAGGACATAGTTCTTAGCGCCCCATGTGTGCCCTTTTTGCTTGCCGCAGGCATTTGGGCATCAGTAGATTGGGAGAACACAGACTCAGCTCGGGGGGGGGGGTGGGGGGGGGGGGGCGAGTCTGAACATTGAGGGGACCGGAAAGCAGTGGCGTACACAAAAGGATACAAATGCGACGCCCGTGCCCTGGATTGTGAAAGTGGCGTGCATACCGATGGAGGAGCAGATGGTTGTAGGCTATCAATAAACAAAATTGCCGCGATTTTGTTAGAATTGACCTTGCGACAGCAAATCAGTAGTACAACGCAAAATTGCAGTGCCCGTGCCATGGGTTTTATATCGTCATGGAAATTACGATTTTTGTGTCTACAAATATAGTCATTACAACAATCATGCCTGATCTAGTTGCACTTGGTGCTATATAAGCTTTCGCGTGATATGTCCCGAGCCATGGTTTCAAGTCGTCCTGATGACTTGACTTCACAAGGTCATCAGCATCATGGTCGTTACACTCAATGTCACCGAACACTGTTCAGTTATTTATTTACCGGGCGTACGTGCCTCAATTAACTATTGAAAAACCGTAGGGGTTCGTATGTTGGCCCAGTCATCACTAGTAGCTTTCAAGCAAGGTAGATTTTGCAAAAGCATAGTTAGTGTTAACGTGCATCATTTTATTATTTGTGCAAACACGCTTCTTTCTCCAAGTTTTCTTAGATGCATAGCCCCTTTCATATTTATGACGTGCTTGCTCGGCTTTTCAACTTCGAAGATTATTTTGCTACTTTGAAGATGTTAAAAGGATGAGTCATGGCTCTCGTTTCGAAATGGCTATATTCTTACTTTTGCGAAGTTTGTTCGTAGTGCTTTCGTGGCAATGCTTTGTGTGAGCTTAGTGCGAGCATTCCTTTGTGTGAGCGGCCAGTCGGGAGAGCCAACGTTATAAATCCAGATTAAACCTAACACGCGCCCGAGTGGCCAGTTAGACACCCTTCGCTCGGGTGGGGGTCAATTTGACCCCCCTGAGATCTCGGGAACTAAGAGAGTTAGAGACACTAAATTTACAGGGTATGTTAACCTGTACGTTAACTCACCTAGGTCATATTTGAGGTTCCTAGGTCATGATCTTCCGGTTAAATAAGGTCAAACAAGGCCAAGTTCCTGGTTGGCCTCCAAAGTGCCCCCAGAACCTAGATAACTACTTCTAAGCAACAGGTCACATGCTCATTTGAGGTCAGTGACCTTGTTTGACCTTTTGAAAGTATTGGTGACCAAAATTATACAATACTGCTGTGAGTTTTGCATCTGAATACGCGGCAAAGATTGCGCTAGGCAGTATGCCTCTAAAAAATAAAAAAAATTACCTGGATCAGCTTAGGTCAATGACCTATTTTGACCGCTAAAAAGTCCATGGAAGTTGTATAATGCGGTTCCTGCCATCCATAAGTTT